TTCAGAAGTTCTAGTATAGCCCAGGTATTTTCAAGTTCTCTCCGCGATTGTAGTGCTTAGCGCGTGACACGAAGGTCGGGAGAAAGGTTAGGGAAGAAGGGTCCACGGACCCTGGTGACGGGTCAGCACAGAGTGGGGGAGGAAGTGGTGGTGGCAACATGCACAGGAGGCCATCTAGGCTGCGGCACTTTTCCAGTGATCAAAGGCGAGTGTGATGAGAGAATAAGGGCGCCACTGCCTTGTGTCCGGGTCGGTGCTGAGTGGAGGTTCAGAGCTCACACCTGGGAGCCGGCTGCGTGGTTGGGAAGTTGGCTTCACCACCTCTTGTCTGTGTGACCCTGGGCCAGTCACTTCACGTTTCTGTGACTTGGGGTTCTCATTTGTAAAATAAGGATAATAACACCTAATAGGATTGTTGTGAGGTTAAACCAGTTAACATAGGTTATGATTTTAGAATACTCTATAATGGCCAGCCTTAGTGGCTCACACCTGTAATCCCAGCCCTCTGGGAGGCCCAGGCGGGTGGATTGCTTGAACTCAGGAGTTCGAGACCAGCCTGAACAAGCGCCAGACCCCCATCTCTAAAAATAGCCGGGTGTTGTGGTGGGCACCTGTAGTCCCAGCTACTCAGGAGGCCAAGGCAAGAGGATCACTTGAGCCCAAGAGTCTGAGGTTGCTGTGAGCTATGATGCCACAGCACTCCACCTAGGGTGATAATGTGAGACTCTGTCTCAAAAAAAATAGAATATAAGTGTTATTTATTATTATTTTATGCAAAAGTTTAAAAATTATATTCCATCAGCTCTCTTGGTAGTTTTGTTCTTTGTAAGCAAACATTTAAGTCATCCATGCTCTAGACCAGTACTGTTCAATAGAATAGAATTTGACTACACACCTGTAAGGGGTTGAAAATTTTCTAGTAGCCACATTTAAAAGGTAAAGAGAAACAGGTAAAATTAATTTTAATATTTTATTTGACTCAATAATTCACAGATATTAGTTTAACACATAACCACTATCAAAATTATTGAAGAGATATTCTGCCTTCTTTTTTCCTGGTTAAGTCTTAGAGATATGGTGGGGATTTTACTCTTGCTGTGTATTTTAATGGCTTGCTGGCCACGTGTGTCTGGGGGTTTCTACAGAGGACTTTGCTGGTTAGATGCTTGCTGGCTTTGTAAGTGTTCCAGGTATCTATTGTATGAAATTAGCTATTCCCAAATTTAGTAGATTAAATTGATGGTTTGTTATTCTCTCACGATTCTCATCCATCTTGTACACACCAGCTTGGTAATTATTGCTTGAGTCAATTATTACTGTTATAGTTGTGAAATTACCAAGCTCCACGATCCCTTCTACATTTGTCAGTTGGGATTCTGTGGTAAAGAAGAACTTTTACTACTCCTCATTTAAGTTGTTTAATTATATAGCAGCATAAACTCGGAGAATCTTGTTTTAGTCAGTAGGTTATGCACCACTATTCATTTGAATGTTCAAGTTGTCTGACTATGATATTTTTAATTGAGAAAACATTGTCTTTGCACGTGCTGAGGTGCCTGTAAGAGCAGTGCAAATTTTGTTATGTAGATGATATCCCCAATTCCGTTTTTTCTCCCTACATTTTGAAATATTTGCATGCTTCAGCTCAGGTATTTCACAGGCCCCATCTCTTTGCTTGCGGACTCCATGCCTTTCTTTGGCAAATTTGTTTATAGGACAGTTTGTTGTGCAAATTGTCTCTATGTATGTTTCGGTGGAAAGTTTCACCAAGTTTAGTTGCTGCCAGATATTAGAGCTTTTCAGTTTCATTGCAATTCAGTGTGGATGTCTTTCCAATTAACAGTGAGCCTAAGGAGCAGAAGGTTCTTCCTGCCAGTTAAGATATTCTTGAAGCACAACTGGGTATATATCGAAAGGATGTCAGATCAGGATGTTGAAGAGACATCTGTACGCCCATGTTTATTGATGCATTATTCACAATAGTCAGGATGTGGAATCAACCCATGTATTCATCAATGGATGAATGGATTAAAAAAATAGGGGATATACACACAATGGGATACTATGCAGGCTTAAAAAAGGAGATCCGTGTGTTGCAATAATGTGCATGAACCTCTAAGGCAGTGGTTCTCAACCTTCCTAATGCTGTGACCCTTTAATACAGTTCCTCGTGTTGTGGTGACCCCCAACCATAAAATTATTTTCATTGCTACTTCATAACTGTAATTTTGCTACTGTTATGAATCATATTGTAAATATCTGATATGCAAGATGGTCTTAGGCGACCCCTGTGAAAGGGTCATTTGACCCCCAAAGGGGTTGTGACCCACAGGTTATATATTAAGAGACATAAGCTAGGTATAGACAGATAATACTGTAGGATCACATTTGTACGTGGAATATAAAAAAAAAAAAATGAACCCACAGAAACAGAGTGAAATTGTGGTTACCAGAGGCTGGAGGAGACTGGGGAGATGTTGGTCAAAGGACATAAAGTTTCAGGTAGGAGGAATAATTTCAAGAGGTCTATTGTACATAATGGTCACTGCTGTTAATAACGTATTGTAGACTTGAAAATTACTAGCTGGGCGTGGTTGCTCATGCCTGTCATCCTAGCACTTTGGGAGGCTAAGGGAAGAGGATCACTTGAGGTCAGGAGTTTGGGATCAGCCTGTGCAAGAGAGAGACCCATTTATACAAAAAAATAGAAAGATTAGCCAGGTACAGTGGCACATGACTGTAGTCCCAGCTACTCTGGAAGCTGAGGGAGGAGGATCGCTTGAGCCCAGGAGTTTGAGGTTGCTGTGAGCTAAAACACCACTGGCCTCTAGCCTGGGCAACACAGAGAAACCCTATCTCAAAAACAAAAACAGAAAAAAGTTGTTAAGAGTAGATTTTAAGTGTTCTCCTTGCAAATAAATGCTAAGTATGTGAGGTAATTAATTTGGCTCAATAGCTTGATTTAGCCGTTCCCCAAAGTATACATATGTTATTAACAAAACATCATGTGGTGTGCTATAAATATATACAATTTTTACTTGCCACCTAAAAAAAGAATAAAACATTTCAAAGTTAAATCGTGTGCCAATTAAACTCATTTCCTAATAACATTTTTCTGCCCCCCCAAATAATCGGGACAAATGCTGAATCAGGATGTTGGGATGACAGTGTCACCTGGGACAGTCCCGGCAAGGGCTTACCTCGTCCCCACCTCTTGGTGTGGCTCAGCCTCGTCTCTGCTGCCCTTCTCACCTTGCCCATGGCCCCCCAGCTCTTTGCCGCGGGGGCCTCATAGATGGACCCGTCCTGCTTTCCCTTTGCTGCCCCTCTTCTTCCTCTCCTGGCCAGTTCCTCCTTGCCCCACAACCCGGACACTGGGATCATTTTCTCCAGCCGCTTCCCTCGGTCCCTCCCATGTGCTCTCGTCCACCTGTGGGTATCACAGCCCTTCATCCCTTGCGTTACATGTATCTATCCCATTGTTCTTCACCTTTTCAAAACACTATTCGTCTAATGTCTTACTGTGTAAGAGTCCTGCTTTTTGTTTCCTATACGGACAGTTGTTGAATAAACTGACCTGAGCTAGGTGAGAACTGATGGTGATGAGTTGCTTACTTGTTCCTAAAAACATACAGTAGAACCTCCAGAGCTGACCACCTCCCTACACCGGCCACCTCCTTAAGTTGACCTAAGTTTTATAGACCAGACGTGCACCATGTGCATTATTAGTACAGTTGGCCCAGTTCCTTAAGTTAACTGCCTCTGTCTGTTGACCAGTTTGCTACAGTCCATTGGGTGGTCACTGTGCAGAGCCCCTCTGAGGCTGTGCTCTTTCTTGTGGATTTGCACATGCCTGGGAGTATACCAGATTATTTATAAGGGTGCAGGTAGAACATGTACTTACTTTTATTTCTATTATTTTTTTGAGAATAACTAAAAAGTTGAGATTTTGAATATTTAATCTTTTGGCTGAGAAAGTGCATATATATATATATATATAGTGTTATAAGTTTAATTTGACATTAATAATGTGCACTAAATGTTTTTATTGATGCAGTGCTCCATCATAAAAATTTGAAGACCACTCTGTAGGGACATGCTGATGTCCCCATGGATGGCTCTTCAAGCTCTCTGACATGGTGATGGCATCCATCACATGTCTCCTATATGCCCGGCACTGTCCCATCTGTGAATACTTTATAGGCAGTAACATATTTTATTCCCTACAACCGCCTTAAGAGATTGGTATGATTATTAGCATCTTGAATTTATGGATGAAAGAAGTGAACTGGAGAATCAGGGAACTTGTTTAAACACAGGGCCAGTCCGTGGCAAATTCACGGTAGAACCTATGTGGTCTGACTCTAGAGGCCACTTGCTTGGCCCTGCTCTGGACTGTGCCGTGCCATGTGACAGACCCACGTTGCTTTCAGCAGGAGAGGGACCTGGTCTGTCCCTTGCTCACTGGGACACACCAAATCGATAGTTTTTAAATGAGTGAAGGAACTGTGGGCCTACATGTATCATTACTTTTAATGGGAACTTTGATAAGTGCTCTTTTACTGTTAACTTGAAACCATTTTTCTCCATGAAGTAAATGGATCTGATGAGAAATTGGCATGAGTTAAATTAGCAGCCCTGTGTTTAGAAAATGAAAAAGGTCTGCCCCACCCTCATACTCATGAGTCAGTTATGAGTCCCAGCTGATTCCCGACATGACTAATGCTTTCCTTGTCTTCCTTTATCATGAGGGCATGAGCACACGAGACACAGCAGAGTTCACCCTCTGATGCCCTTTTCAGCCTGAATTTTAATACTTTGGCACAAAGGTATATAGTGATTTCTCAAGTGTTCTAGGCATTAATGAAATTACTGTGGTTTGGCCAAATAAACTTTTGATTCCATCTACGCCTAAGAGAACATTAGGAGAGTTTTGTAGGTTTTGTATTGTGGCATCATATTCGGATTATGCCAACTCTGTTTTCTTGTTTTCCTTTTAGGCTCTTTCAAGACACTTATTCTTCCATCGGTAAGTATCCATTCAGAACATTTGCAGATGAAATACAGTGCATCAGTGAACTAAATTCACATTTTATTGGTTTTATATCAGTTCATGTTTCTTGTTAGTTTGGCTTGAGCTTAGCTCTGCCTTCAGATTATTAATAATATTACTAAGGGAGATTGGC